CTTCGAACTCCAGAAAGTCTTCGCTGAGCAAGTGAGGTTTTGGTATTCCATTTAAAATTGGACTGCAGTTCGAAGTCCATTTTCGCGGTGGGAAACCAGATGACTGCAATACTTGTGAGATTTCATANTCGAACTCCAGAAAGTCTTCGCTGAGCAAGTGAGGTTTTGGTATTCCATTTAAAATTGGACTGCAGTTCGAAGTCCATTTTCGCGGTGGGAAACCAGATGACTGCAATACTTGTGAGATTTCATATCGAGCTCTTATCGCGGAATCGATGCTATGTCCACCGGCGAGTACGTCGTCCACATACTACATGCATTTTCGCAATATGTTTGCTGCGATTGGATAAGAGCTCTCTACATCGTCAGCAAGTTGATGTAATGTCCTTATAGCGAGGTACGGAGCACAGTTAATGCCAAGGTCACCGTTTTCAGTTTNTGAATACATATTTATACAGTCTCCAACGTAGCATCAGGATGGTTAAATCGGCTTGAAGAATTGGACCGGGATGAAGGACGTCATTTAAGCTCGCGCCATTGGCGGTAGGGCATGAGGCATTGAATACGACTCTGACCTTTGTACTGATGCTTTCTTCCTTCACAACAGCGTGATGAGGTAAGAAATAACAGTCAGTTGAGTCTGCTGGCACGTTATCAGATATTTTAGACATATGCCCTAATGTCTCATATTCCCTCAAAACCCGATTATATTCCGTTTGCAGGACAGGGTTTTTCGCTAGGCGCGTCTCGTTCCGGTAGAACTGAGAGCAGGCGCCTTTCAACGATGGCCCTAAGGAAATGTTGTTCGGATAGTCCTTTCTGAAGGGTAAAGACACGATGTATTTCCCTTCTGCATTCCTCTCGGTTGTAGTCTTGAACAGTTCTTCGCAATAGGTGTCGTCGTCATTAAGACCTTTTTTCTTAGGAATATCCTCCAACTCCCAAAAAGCGGTTAACTGTTTGTCCAGGTTGACTTCATTGTAAAATGAGAAAATATTGTTGGTTGGATTCGATGCTTCCGCACAACCGGTTAAAATCCAACCGAACACGGCCTCTTGGGCGAGAAGCGTATTTAATACGTTCTTTTTTATGCCGCCTAAAATGATCTGTGGGTATATGTCTCCTCCGAGTACGAGATCCACTGGGTCATTAATGAAGAACCTCTTGTCCGCCAAGACCAAGTCTGGGAATGCTTGCCGAGTCATTGCGCTTACTTGGCAAGTCGGCAGATCTCCTGTTAATTTTGGTAAAACCAGTACAACAGCATATATGCTTATTAATGGGTCTGTGGGCGACCGCAATTGAATGGCGCACGCTTCCTTTACCTGCGCAGATATTGAATTATTGAAGCCCGAGACGTGGGCAAGCGTTTTGATGGCAGGTTAATTCTGCGTTTAAGTCTTTCAGTTAT